CACTGAGGACCTATCCATGTCATCATTTACCCAGAATGCTTTGTGTGTAAATAAAATTGCCCCGTCCGTGTAATATATTTTTTAACTTTTAGTTTAAAAATGATAAAAACTAAACATCCTACAGTATTTTTACAGTCTTTATTTTACAGTTAAAATATATGTTTATTAAATAAAGTCTAATGTTACAACTAATCAGGGATCCCTTTAACTTCAGCTGGTTTAAATGCATTTTTTGCCCAGTGTAAAAAAAAAACGGGCGCAGACTGAGGCAGAGCTGCTGTGAGCGCTCTGTGTGTGTGTGTGTGTGTGTGTGTGTGTGTGTGTGTGTGTGAAGTCCTCACAATGATAGCAAGATGTATGTGTGTGTGTCTCTCTTTTTCTCTATGTTACTCTGACGGTTTTCTTTAGTGATGTTGCTGATTTTGCAAAGAAAATGCTGGGATATTAAAACATGGTAATTTTATTGGAAAAAAAAGACACTAATCTGATTAACATACAAATAAAAAGAGAATATGTAGCACTAGATAAAATAAATTTTTAGTTACTTATTCATTTTTTTAAATAAATGTCTGAAAAAGAAATCGTGTGTGGCAGCACCAGACAAGGCTCAGTTAATAAATGTTTCTTTTTTGTTTTAAATTGAGACTTGTGTAACATTTGTTATCTTATTTTTATCATGTTAACGGAGGGAGAAAAAGCAGTATCAGCTTCTAGAATCAGCCAAAAATAATCAGCTGCACGTATCGGTTAGACTGAGGTCAAAATAATCTGTATCGGCCTTCAAAAAACCTGCATCGGTCGATCTCTAGTTCTTAGACTGATGTGTTCTATGCTCCATGTGTTCTGTGTGTTCTATACTCCATGTTCCATGTGTTCTGTGTGGAGAAATCATTTAGTTTTTTGTGCAGCAGCAGATATAAGGAAATTCAGATTTTAAAAACAGACCTAACATCCTTGAACTAAAACCTGATTGTTGATCTGGACCAGAACCAGATCAGTAGTACTCTTGTATTTACCCAGACCACATCCAGCTCTGAGTTCAGTCCGTCCAGCTTCACAAAGTCATCTTTGTTTGTGACGGGACCTCCAGACTTCAGCCTCCAGCTGTTCAGTTTCCAGTTCTTCACCCAACTGGTCACTCCTGCAGAACCAAACCCACAACTTTAATCAAGGCTGGAGTTCTGAGTTATTTGGAACCCCTCCCTGCACCCTGATCCCCACCACACTTACCGTTGATGACGAACTTGCTGTCTGTGTAGAGAACCAGTTTCTGGATGTTGTTCTGTTTGGCCTGTTCCAGAGCTCTGCAGGCTGCCTGGTTTAGTATCAGCAAAAGTCAAGCACTTCCTGAAACTCGTACCTGGCCTCGTGCTGAGGTGTGATGGGCGGGGCTTACCTGTATCTCTGCTCTCTGATTGGTCTGTCGTCCCTGCAGCCGCTCTGCAACGTTTCTGTACAACAAGCAGCAATAAACTGTTGAATTTACTGGTTTCAGTGACCAAATGTGCTGAAAACAAAGAGGTGTGTGGCGACTCACAGAGGGTGGTCGGGACCCCAGAAAACGCCGATCCCGGCTCGAGCTCTGACCTTTCCGTTAAATGTGCAGCAGCCATCAGTGTAAACCACCACAGCATCACCTGAGGGTAGAGGCAGCAGAATCAACAGCCTGAAGAGTTTACAGCCTGAAGAGTTTTGTTGCTCAGACAACATACCCATGTATGTGAACACATCTTTGGGTTCTGAGGACGAGTTTCCTTCTTGTTTGAGTCGTTTAGGCTGAAGCTCTGCCCCCTCTTTTGAGTTACACCTCTTCTTCCCAAGCGGGATGTACTCAAGAGGCTCCGGGCCTCGTTTAGGAAGCAGAGAAACATCTGACTGTGAACTCTGAATCGCTGATGGGAAACAGAAAGATAAACATTTGCAATAATAAACACCTGCAGTAATAAACATCTACAGTAATAAACATAATAAATATCTGCAATAATAAACACCTGCAGTAATAAACATCTACAGTGATAAACATAATAAACATCTACAGTAATAAACATAATAAACATCTACAGTAGTAAACATAATGAATATATGCAATAATAAACACCTGCAGTAATAAACATAATATCTGCAGTAACTGCTCAGTCTGAGCCTGTTTAAAGGGATCCCCAATTAGTTGTAACATTTGACTTTATTTAATAAACATATATTTTAACTGTAAAATAAAGACAGTTAAAAATACTGTAGGCTGTTTA